GTTGGCGCAGGATAGAGCAGGGTTTAGAGCTGTTGTGCATAGGGTCACTATGAGTCGGAAACGACTCGATGGCACATAACAACAACAACAAATGCACATGAAAGTTAGACAATGAATAAGGAAGACCAAAGAAGAACTGATGTCTTTGAAATGAGGTGGTGGTGAATCATACTGGATATACCATGACTTCTAAAAGAACACACAAATCTTAGAAGTACAGCCAAGATGCTCTTTGGAAGTAAGGATGGTGAAACTTCTTCTCTCATACTCTGGGTATGTTATCAGAAGGAGTCAGTGTCTGGAGAAGAATGCCACGCATGCAAAATGGAGCATCAAGGAAAATTAGGAAGACCCTTCAACAAGACAGATTCACACAGTGACTGTAACAATGGGTTTAAGCACAGCAGAGACTGTGAAGATGGTGCAGCTTTGGGCAGGGTTTGTTCTCTTCTACTACAAGTTGGTTTCCATGAGCTGGAGCTGATTTGGTAGCACTTAATAACAACAAAACATCAAAGGCTGCTGTTAATTATTATGTATTATTCACAATAGTGAAGACATGGAAGCAGCTCAAATGCCTATCAACAAGCAAAAGGATAGAAAAGCTGTGGTACATTTATACAATGGAATATTATGCTGCACTGAAAAAATAATTAACTGGTAAAACATTACACAACATGAGTGAATCTAGAAGATACTATCCTGAGTGAGATATCTCAGTAACAAAAGGACAAATACTGCATGGTATCACTCTTATAGAATAGGATTGACACAGAGGAGGGGAAAGAGAACAGAAAAATGAGTGCATAGATAATGAACACTGCACTGAAACATGTTGAAAGGAATGTATGATTGGGCATTATATGCCTGAAAACGATCTGAAACAAAAAAGTGCACTACACAGTGAATTGAGAGGAAGAGAGAATAAATGAAAACTCAATTTTTCTGTAAACTTTCAGTAAAATCACAATTAAAAAATTAATTATTGCCTAAAAGTAGGACATGATGAGGAAATACCAGTTATTATTGTCAGTAGTCATTTTCTTTTCACATAAAATTATTATTTCATAAATAACTGTTGAAAATGTGAACAAAAAAGAAAAGTATGGCTTTTCTGAGGAGGATAAAATTATATTCTTTCATATTATATTCTTTCATATATGTCTCTCTCATATAGCTCTCCCCCACCACATACGCATGCTTTCACACACACAAACTGTGCCAAAGGAATACTACATCAGCTCAAGTTAATTCTAAATTGTGAAGATAGAACATAAATAGTTAAAGATGCACCAAGATGTTCCAATAACAGAAGTATGAAACACTCGCAAAGCTTTCAATTAAATCCATACACATGTCTTCTAAAATTTACATTAGGTATTGACTTTTAACCTCTCTGATGAGAACAGAGAAGCAAATCATAATATTACTAGGGTTTGAACTTCACCTTCTCAGAGAGGCTTTCTCAGCCCAAGCCTACCCCAAAGCTCTCTATCTCTTTATCTAGCTTTAGATTTGTTGACAGTACTTTTGGATTACATTGTACATTTTTTGCTTCTTTTCCTAGTGTCTGGTCCCTCGACTGTAAATTCCATAAAGACAAGGGCTTTGTTTTTTGTCCACTGGTGTATATCCATAACCAGTCCAGTATTGATATACAGTAGGAGTTGAATGCATGTGTGTTAAATGCTTACTGAAGGTGCTCTATGATTCTCTACATCATATTTCATATAATACTTAGGAGGGGTATGCAAGAAGAAGGAAATGTTTTATAGCATTACATCACCCATCAGAGAATAGAAGTGCCACTGCCTACAACTGGCACCACAAACTGATACTGATATTCCTCTAATATTGATTCAAAACCCTTCCGCACATCAACCTCCCTGGCTCATATTGGCTGCTAACTTCCTTCACCCTGTCATTTCCTTCCTTCCTAGCTTTTGCCAAGGCTTATCTGACTCACAGGTGATGGGGTGACTAACACAGTGATCCAGGCTGAGTCTTCATCATCTTGGACTCCAGTCCAACACAAAGACTTTCCCTCTCCAAGGATTTCAATAAGGTCAATACGCCCCACTCAGGAAATGATCTAATACCCACATATTTATCTGTTCTTTCCCCTGAAACAACACAAAAAGTAAAACTTACTCTGCATTCTCGACAGCTCTTGGTTAGGATCCTCTGGCCTTCTGCAAGGACTTTTCCTCCATAGATACATTTTGCTGCAATAAAACAGAAAAATGAGTCAGACTGTCATGGAACAAAATTACCTCAGAGGCGCCATCTAACTCAAACAGGATTCACACATCTTCTTGTCAAGAGGAAAACCCTTGAACATCCCACTGAGGCTGCCATCTTGACTGTGTTTACCACTGCTCCTTCATGCCAAGGGCATACAATGATATCAGTGTTACAATCCCCAAGGAAATTCAGGAATGAATTGATGTTTTAAGAGAGATGAGTGAAAGCAAGGAAGAACTGGAGCAACTTTGGTGGAGACACTCCAGCCATAAAAGAAATGAGGGTGAGGGGACTCATATAAGATATGTCCACAGAGTTGTAGGATGCCGTTTATTTACCTATAAAGATGGGAAGTGGGTAGCCTTATCCCACCATGTCCAAGAAGTTCAAAGACAACTGAGAAGTAATATCAATTCAGCCAGTAAATAGCTAGGTCAATGTGCTAAAGGTGCCTTTGGAAAGTGGCTAGCAGCAGCAAGAGCAGGGGCGGAGGGAGGCCTCACATTCAAGTTCAAAGTGAAACACTACTGCAGCTCCCACTACACAGTTTAGATTCCACCACAACTCAGGCCTTGACCGCTGACCCACTTTTATGTAAGTGTAGACCAGGTCAATTTGCAATGATCCTATTGTGACTCCACCGAATTCTCCAGCTACATCAACATGAACAGAAATCAAAAACATTATTCCCTTCCTTGCCCCAACAAGAACTCTTTTAGCACTAGCTCAGGAGAGGCAGAAGTGAAGGTGTACACACCAAGATATCTTTACCATTTGTTCTGAGCTTGTATTTTTATATCTATAAAAACAGATCAATTAAATGTAGTGGTTTCCAGAGTTCAGCCCATGGGATGTCCAAGTACACAAAGAGCTTAGCAATCAGGTGCTAGTAACCTGTGTTTCAGCCACAGCAATAGGACAGCCCACAGACATTAATTAGTAACCTCCTGGTAGAATGCCCAGATCTCACTCATGACCAAAGGGCACATTCTTGAAGCTACTAGGAAAGTTGATGACCAACACTAGTGAATAGTAATGGATTCTGACTGAATATTTGCTCTAAGACTTGTCTTAAGCTGAAGAAAGTGCTGTCACCCAGGTCAGTTCCCTTCACAGGGCAAATTATATCCAATGATTGGCTGATTTTTAAAAAGAACCAAAAGATATCATCTTTTTGTCCAACTCAGGAAAGCTCTGGAAGACCATACCAACTCCATATATCCCATTAAGAATGGTTGAGGCATCTGCTGCAACTGCTATGCTATTCAATTTCTTTCTGTGCTCTGCTTTGCCTCCTCCACCATCAGCCCCCCAGGGCACTTAATTTCAAAAACATTCCCTAGGGAAGGACACACAAATCTTTTTTATTCATTTCCTCAATGAAGTCCCTGAAAGGTTCAAAGGGTTACACACCAAGTCACAAACTCAATTGTGGGCAATTTAACTACACTCATATGTGTCTTAGAAGAACAGTCTGGGGATTTGCATTTGAAAACCAACCACTGAAAATCCTAGAGAGCTCAGCTGTATCCTGGCACGTATCAGGTGTCATGAGTTAGAGTTCATAGCAATTGATCAACTAGTTCCTCTCAGAATGTGAACTGCAATAACTCCACACTCTATACCTCACCCAAATCATTCCTCTCTCGTAGTCTCACAGTGAACAATAGCATCACCCAGACACACAAATGCGCGTAAGGTTTTTCGTTCTTCCTTCTTAATCAAAATCATGGTCAATCAATTCCCCACATCTTTCCTTAAGTCTCTCAAGTCCTTCGCCTTCTCCTTTCTCAACCTCGCAGTCATTATCTTAGTTTGCCCGTCCCCATCATCATCTTTCTTCGTTATCACCACTAACTTCCTGTTTCCCATATTCTAGTGCTAATTCCCTGCACAGAAACTAGAAACATTTTTAAAAGGTAAATCTGAGATCCTGTTGTAAATCCTGCGGGTCCCTTCTACCCACAGAATAAAGTTCAGATTCCTCAGTTTGGCACACAAGGTCATTCATATAACTCATCTAACTCCACCTTGTCTCCCAAGCTTTGGTATGGCACTAAGCCCTGATCTCTCTTCACCACTGGGAAATGACTCCATGGCCACACAGTGCTAGCTATGCCCTCTGTCTTACTTCCACACTTCGGACATCATGGGGTGTTTGTTTGGGTTCGGTTTTGTTTTTTCAAAGAAATGCTCAGCTCCACCTACCCACATCTTCCAACTTCCTGACCTAAATACATCCGTCAGTTGCAACTTAGACTTGAGTTTCTCCATGAAACTAATTCCCTTCATTTTGTGCTTCTTTTATATTTAGCGATGAACAGAGTACATACCACATTGTACCATCACTGGCCACTGAAATACACATCTCCCTTCCTAAGTCCAACCTCCATGAAGATAAGAGCAATTTCTGGTACCAGTTTATCTATAGCCCCAAGCCTATTCCCTCAAAAAACAAAAGTGCTTTTGTATTCAAGCGTCTTGAAAGCCAAACCAAATCTACTGCCATTGAGTTAATTCCAACTTAAAGCCATCAGGTTTCTGAGGCTGTAAATATTTACAGGACGGCCTAGCCCATCTCTCTCCTAGCAGCAGCAACTAGTGGGTTCAAACCATTGCCCTTTTTTGCCACATGTAACACATTACATCACCATCATACCTGAGTCCCTAGCTGGTAGAAAAAATCCTTATATGTCTGATTCCCAGCTTGGAGGTTTTTCTTTTACACTACTCAAAGCAATTTCAGCCATTAAAAGCAGATACTACATGTTTGAGAAAAAAAAAAAATAGAGATTCTACATAATTTCCTACACAGGTCCCTCTTTCCCTTTATTGGAAATAATAACAAATTTAAAAAACACACCTATACCTGACTCATCTTTACATCTTTACTATTCAATTGTCTGAATCAATCAGTCGACTGTTCTGATAACGCTGTGGATTTCCCACTTTATTCACATAAGGAAGCCATACCTCCAAGGGCCTGGGATTCCAGTCTAATAAACTCCCACACTCCCACACACAGCAGCTGCCAAGTTGGCATGGTGGCTCTCTCCAGAGTGACAGCTGTGCTAATTACACTGCTGTCAACTATGCCATCTGCTCTTTGGACCAAGCTGGAAGCAGAAAGATAGATGCTGTTTCCTTTGCCCCCTGCTAATTACACCATGGTATCAGACCGTCTTACTTACCTGTGATGGTTATGATTATGTCACTGTGACTGCTGATGGCTCTCTGGTTTGGTGACTGTAATGTGGGAATTCCCATGGTGAGGTGTGATGTAGTTAGTCTAATCAGCCCTTTGTTGATGTTTGCTAGAGGCAACCAATCAGTTGGGGTGTTTTACTAAGGGTATGACCTGCACTGAGCATATGGGAAAGTCCGGTGGAACCAGGTTGTTATTTGCTCCATCTAGATGTTATGTCAGGATTGGTGGAAGATCTATTAACAATCTGCATTATGCAGATGACACAACCCTGCTTGCTGAAACTGAGGAGGACCTCATGCACTTGCTGC